TCCTTTTGTTATTACAACTTGCCTGAGCTGATTCTCTAAGAATAGTAACAATATTACCGTACATGTTATCTAAAATTAATTTGTGATTATCATTAATACATATATTATTACAACAATTCATAAACTCCTGTGGAAAATTTACGTCTTTTAATTTAGAGTGACACAATTTTTTATAAGTTTCTATTTGATTATTATTTCTGACACCCCAAATTATTTTATTATTATAGAAATAGCTTACCATATTTTTTGATCTCAATAAGTTAATATTGCACTCGATCAGCAATGGAACATGATCCGACCAGTAGGTATCATACAGCACAGTGACATCTATGACTGAGCGCCTTGCGGCCTCAGTTACAACGCAATGATCCAACCAGCGCCGACAACCGTGCGCATCACTAGTGTAAGTATAGCTGCCCGCTGGGAGGACCTCCAAATCAACACAAATCAACTGCTGATCCGTGCAAAAATTTATCATTTCGTTACAAAATAATGTACCGGGATGAGAATTAAAGTCACCTAACGCAAATACAGAGTCGACATTTTCATTTTCAATAATAGCACTTATCTCGCTCATGCACGATGTAAATTCTATTAAATTGTCTACTGAATCCGTTGGCATATAAACCGAGAATATTATGTAAGTTCGTTCACTATGGAACACTTTAATTGCTGTGAGACGCACACTACTACATTCGACCACACTGACACAATCAAACGCATTTTTCCTCCACAAGAGGGCCACACCACCATAGGGTCTGCCTGTGAGTATACCGGACGACGTATCAACCGCTGACTTACCGGTATAGCTGAAGTCTTGATGTATCTCGCCCAGAAACGTTATGTCATCAGGTAGAAGCCATGTCTCCTGTAGCGCTAGCACGTCAGACTTTTCACACAGGTGTCTTACGCATTCCAAAGAGCGTTTAACAGATTTGCAGTTAAAAGTAGTAAATTTTGAAAGAAGTGCAGGAGACGCATACTCAAGGGCGTACATATAGTCAAGGTCGTATATATGGGATGGTCGGGTGACCGACTACGTATAGTACTGTGTTTTTATTTCGTGCGGGCCCGGGAGGGGGGGGTGCGAGCTTATTTTTCTAAATTTTTTTTTTTTTTTTAATTTTTTCCTCTTTTTTTTTTTCTTTTAAAAATTTTTTTTTTTTTTTTTTAATTTTTTTAATTTTTTTTTTTCTATAAAATTTTTTTTTTTTCTTTTTTTTTTTATTTTTTTTTTTTTAAAATTTATATAATAAGATAAAAAGGTAATGGGATGGAGGGCAGCCCTTTTTTTTTTACCGCGCTGTGTTGTTTTATTTGCCGGTTCAATCTGGTATTACCTGGTACTGTTGCACAATGTGTAGGTATATTGTGCAACAGTACTATACGTAGTCGGTCCCTATATTAGGGACTTATATAGTTTTTTTTATAGATGAGGGGGCAAACGAGCATGCGGCTCACCTGATGTTAAGTGACTACCGCCGCCCATGATCAACCGCAACACCAGAGGAATTGCAGGTGCGTTGCTGGCCATTTAGAAAGGAGTAAGCTCTTTTCTTGAAGGTCCCCAGGTCGTATCGGTCCGGAAAAATCGCCGGTGGTAAACTAGTAGGGTTTATTATACTAATGCAATGTTGTAGAAGGTCTCTATGATGAATAAGCATTATAATGGTAGAGTTGTGGGTTGACGTCCTATATATTAAAGACATATAATAAATAGTAAGGTCTATGATACGAAATCATTATTATAGAAGGTCTCTTTGCCGCGTAGGCATTAAGATAGTAGAGTTATGGACTGAAGTCCTATATAGTAGTAAGATCTATGAAATAAAGCAAATATGTGGAAGGTCTCAAATATATAAAAGCATTATATTAATAGAAATGGGACTTGAAAAGGATTATTATAGTGGCGTGTATACTGCATCACAAGCGACCGAGACCGAGGTAAACTTGGACTCGTTAACCGATGTGTCCTAGACATATCATCTTAGTGCCGGTGGTAAGCGGGTTTGTTGTAGCAATACGGCCTTCCCGTGGACATCGCACACCCATACCGTTTGTAGGCGGCGTCGTAGCGCATAGCGATGTTATCGTCTATCTTTCGGATTGGGGTGAGTGTGTTTGGTAGCACTTTTAAGTATAACAAGCATACACAACTTCATGTCTTAGTGCATTAGCGCTATGATACGTGGAGTTCAGTCCACTGACATCTTAGTAGCGTGCTGCTATGATAACCATAACTCGCTGAGCGACCTTGAACTTCCTCATACGGCCGGCAGTGAAAGACCACATGTTGTACAATCTAGATAGAGTGACGACCTGGTAAGACATGTAGGAAGTTGATGGATGCTGGCATTCCTTGGGAAAGCCAATGTTCAGCAGTGGACTTGTGACGAGCTGTAATGATGATGATGCCGAATGAATGAATTTTTTACGTTCAGCTATGACAATTTAACCACCAAACTATACCAAAATATAGCCATCGCACAGAAATATCCTCGTAGTTTTAATAAAGACATTGTTGAAAAAACTAGGTTCGAAATTAATTAGAATCATCAATGTAGCAAGTCCTAAATTAGTCCCAGGGTATCGTTACCTATGCCCTTATTATATATTACCGTGAGGATCTGCAACTGGATTGGAATCCATATTCATTTTATAAAAGCGAGCGATACGGGCAATCTAAAACATGAGATCTAACGAGTAACTATGCAATCTTTTCAATGAGACTAATAATTTAACAATCACCTCGTTGTTTATCACAAAATCTATATGAAGAATATAAATCTATTAAATAAAAAACTAGAGGTTTCTAAATTTAGACTGGCTAAAACTAGACAGTTTTCTGTGAGTGAATGCATATTTTTTTAAATAAAATTTCTAAAAATATAGTACAATAATCTGACATAAAATTTTATTAGTTTTTGTCATACTTTACAAAACTGTCCCATTGAAATATTTAAGTTTAAAATATAGAATTGCTGTTTTATATTGGCAAATTCCAATAAGTATCATATTTTCTAAGAAAAAATATATATTAATTTTCAATCGAATTATTTATAGGTACTCATTATCTATAAATTTCGAGGGAAGATAATTTGTGCCTATGCGATTGAACTTTGAGGATCTGGACTCCAGATCAAGTCAAGTCTATGAAGTCATTATTAACATTATATTTTTCTGTGTGTTGCCAGTGATGACTTACTTAAGGTACGGACAGACGTGCTCACTACCAGCACAAAAGCATGCTTTTAATGAGCAAGTGCTCATTAGTAACACGTGTGTACACTCATTGCTAGTAATGAGCATGATTATTTTAAGCGTACTCAAAAATCAACCGACGTTTGATTTTCGAGCATGCTACCTGAGGCGCGGGTAGAATGGGGCGTGCTCCGAGTGCATCAGAACAAGTTTACTTATGATTATTTTCAATATTTTTATTTTTATCGACTTCTGTACGGATAGCGATGTAACTATAACTTTTTATACATCCATTTTGGTCGAGAGCCTGGTACTAAATAGCACGTCTGTCTAAGTTTGCTTTGAGCATGCTTATTTATGAATATGCTTTAAGCGTACTTATTGCTGGCAAATGTGAACAGTTGCAGAACATGCTAATTTTAAGCAAGCTTATGAGCATGCTTTTTTTTCAGCACGTCTGTCAGTGCCATTATGGATCTGACACGTGGTTTCACTGCTTGTTTTATCATTGGGCAATAATGGTTAAGATCGATTGACGAGTCGGAGTTGATTCTCTAAGAGTTTCGCTTCATTGTTAGAAGTTATTCATAATATAAGTACATCTGTTGTCATTCAAACACTTGATCTCAAAAGGTATAGTGAATTATATACCATGAAATGAACACCAAACCACAGCTAACATTACTTTTCTATGAGCGAGCTTCGCTTTATGGTATTAGGTCATTATAATTCCTGTATTTGACCTGGGTTTTCCATCCATTGTAGAGAATTCCATTTTCATCACATGTCACAATTCTGTACAAAATTTCTTCATATCCATCACTTCTCATCAAATCAAGACAAGCTTCAACTTGTTTCTCGGTTTTTTATTGTATTAATTTGGTGCAAATAAGCCAATGTTAATTGTTTGATAAGGATCAGCTCCCACTTTAACATGAAATTCATCGTAATTTACTGTTTTTGCTCATTATAAAAGGTAAAAAATAACGTTGATTTGAGATCAAGCCGATTCGTATACTAATAACAAATAGAAGTAACTCAATGGAAATAGCTTGAAAAACCGACAGCCAAATAACGTTCCCGTTGTAGGAGTTAAAAAAAACAATGACAATTTCATAAATAAAAACATTGGCAATTAAAAAGATAATATAAACAACCAATACTTGATAACTTAGGCAATTTATTAAACTTAATAAAAATATAATTATCATAGACATTCCAATTTATATAAATATTTTATATCTAAAATGGAGAACCTTTCAAGATGAAATCATGATATAACTCGTAAAACTAAAAGTAAATGGATAAAATTTAGCACTACATTTATCTAGGTATAGTTTTAGCTGTTGTCTCGAACATTTAAAAAAGCCTAAAAATTACAAAAAAAATATTATTGTAACACAAAATAAGTACAAATATCACACATTTAAACATTTCCTTCACCTCAATTTAACATAACTGTAACAAGACTAAAATTTAAAAATTTTAATGCTCGTAACATCTGACTCGATTTAAAAAAGGATTTTATGGACGAGTCACTGCAAAAAGACTTCAGAGGAGTTACAGGTACAGTACCTACTGATCATAAGCTATATAAAGAAGTAGGCTAAAGTTTAAGTAAAATAAACACGAAAAGTTTCTCTGAGTACGTAACTATATAAGATTAAAACTTAACTCAAAATTTGTGTTTTCAATATTAAAATGAATGTGATAAAATATTTGGGTTATACCTAATTAATTTCTCTTGAAAAGTTCTCTTCACAAAGGAACTTTTTTGAACTTTGTACTTAAAAGATATCTCACAAGAAGGTGGACCAATATACTACGTTTAAAATAAAAAAAGAAAATGGAAAGAAAAAGCGGGAGAAACGATCGATGTATACAGCTGTCTCTCTCCCGTTGCAGAAGGTATCGTACTGAGGCAGCGAAGCAGATGTACTCGCCCGAGGGTCAACCGAATTTGGAAATATGTGCTAAAATTGAAAAAAAAATTGTAATTCATTCAGTCCCACAAGTGAATCTTTTTACTACCCTTAATCCAAAAATAGGTAACTTTAATGAACATTTTAGTTTTAAAGTCCTTTTTGTTTCCAGGAACTGGCTGCCATTTCTTGTTCTGTTACCGACACAGTATATGACCACTATTACACCGCTACTACACGGTAATGGTCTTGTTTAGTTAGTTTTTAGTATATTTCATAAAGGAGAGCAATGAGCAAAACATAAATAAAATTGCGATTTGATTATCATGGAACAAATACATATGGATTGTATTCTCTTAGAGACAAAGTTTATTTTTAGAGTGCGGGTGGATGGATTTTATCTTGTTTGTACATATGATATTTAACATACGTAAAATATATATTAAAAGTTTGACTGTGAATACGTTGTATAAAATCACAAATTATCTCAAACCATAAACGCATAATACAAATTCACCCAGCCGGCCCACTTAGCTTTCAGAGTGTGGGCAAGCGATTGTGCGAAACACGTTTGTTCAGCATTGGGCTATAAAAGCATTTATATTTTTTTTGTTAATTTCACAGAACTCGACTAGTTATATTTCAGTGCACTACCATCCAAATTTTTCATTATTACAGCCTATCAAATTCCACTGCTAAATGTAGAGCCACCCCCATAGTCTCTTAGGGGGGATATTGCCTGCCTCGTTGGTCCAGTGGTTGTAGTAGTGCGACTGCTGATCATGAGGATCTGGGTTCTAATCCCGGGTCGGGCCAAAAAATTAACTATTGAGCTTTTCCGTCTAGAAATTCTCAGTAGCTGCCCGGAGTCAGGAAGTTGGCGGTGTCTCACCCCCGTGCCTCGGAAGGCACGTAAAGCCGTTGGTCCTGCGCCTGATCTCTCTCCGGTCGTGTCGGTTTACCGTCCCATCGGATTATGAGAGTGAGGGAATAGAGAGTGCACCTGTGCTTGCGCATACACTTGGGCACTATAATCCTGTCCTGCGCCGATGGCTAGCCTTCGTTGAGGCAGGCCGCCGTAGCCGAAATTCGGTCTGGAGGACATTATTATTTGCTATAATAGCCACGCTTGGCAAGCAAGGGTTAATTGCAGTTTTTTTTTTTAATTTTCAGTTGTTATCAGAATAATACTGCTGTATATCTCCGGTTTCATGTTCCTCTGTCGCCTCTCTCAATACTAACGGGTTGATATCGGGTATTGGATTCTCTTTCGCCGCCACTATAAAGCGTAAGTACCGAAATTTTTAATTACATAACAAATGCGATTGCTTGAATGCTCATCGGGGAAGAATAGCAATAGAAAGCTTCAAATGAAAAAAAAATAATAATAATTAATTGATAGTCCGCCTGAAAATAAAAAGATGAAAATTCTGTGCAGCAGGACTCTTAGAGACTTGATAATAAAGATGAGCATTTCACCTTAAAAGCGTCAAGATCTCTCGACAAATCTTCATCGGAGTAACCCTTCATAGCCTTGGTAGCTACAGGACCCATGTAATTGTTCACGACGGCGAATTCGAAGAGTGAGAGGAACACAAACACCGAACACGATGACATCCACACGTCGATCGCCTTCACATAGGATACCGGCGGCAAACTTTGCTGCGATTGGGTGTTCTGTGTTGCTGCGGAAAGAAAGGAATCAAACGGCATATTTGGTGATTGATTATTGATGACGATGATGGTCATTTTAACCAACAGAGTTCAATTCAAAACCTCTGAAATTGTTAATAGCGATTCAAAGTACCGATTTACCATGTAGTACTCGGCTGTGAAGGTAAGCAAAAAAAAAACATTTCGGTGACATGTGAAGTCTTTGCTATCACGCATTAGGGTAGCAAAGCGGACACTTCCTTGCTATAAACCCTCTCAGGAATAAAATAAGGTCCTAGGTCCAGAAGTTTGACATACGTAAGCTGGCACTTTTTTACTTTAAGGGGTGGTTGCCACAAAAACGGATAGTGCCGCTCCAATCTGCTATAACTGTTACTGATATGAAAACATCCCTAATCATCACTTTGGTTAACAATCGTCCTAACGAAATGTTAAAAACACTCTTCTTTAATTTAATTGCCGGTACCATTAAAATTATTAATTTTAATAATTATAAATGCTGATTTACCACAATATTATTTTACTTTATTCAATTTACAGTTTTTTAAAGATCTTATGAACGTCAAAATGTACACCGGTTCGCAAAACAAGACCTCAAAAACGAATCGGCATGAAATTCTGAGGTCTTTTTTAAAGCCGTGATATAATTTCATTCAATGTTACAATTTGTAATACTATATCAAAGATCAATAAATATTTTAAAGATATCAGTTTTAATAAAGAAATAATATCAAGATTAAAGAATTTACGTTTTAAGCTGTAAAGCAATTAGCCTGACAAGTAAACAACATTGAATACATTTAAAAATATACAGTAGAATTGATACCTTTTTTATATAGAAAAGGGTGATAAACGAGCACACAGTCCACCTGATGGTAAGTGGATGCTGTGGCACATAGATATCTACATTTATCCACGATTAAGAATCAAAACGCAGATGCGTTGTCAACCGTGATGACTAAGATGGAATGCCTTGTTTCTAGTAAAAAAGGGTCTCCAGATCTCTACAATCAGCATACGAAACACAGCAGTATTAAGCTGCTATTTTACGCTGGTATTCTGTGAGAGCGTGTCCTGCCCCGGTCGAGCCGACCCATTCGTGCTACAACCATAAAATAGCTGCGGCGTGGCTCTACCACGTACCTCCTTTTCTATAAATTGAGTTCAATTTGGTTACTGGGTTGATAACAAATGTAGTCTACATTTGTCATCGTGGTAGAAAATTAACAGAACTGCGAAAGATTACATGCATCTGTTGCTAAAGGCAACACTCTAATCATTTGAGGATTACACTAATGGATAGATAATTTAAAAATCTATTTTATCTACGTTTTATTTAATTTATTAAGTTCGTTTTTCTTTTTTAATTGAAATAATTCCAAAAATTCGGGCGTATTTTTGCGCGATATATTGTAGCGAGAGCGCGTGGATTGTATAGCTAGCACACCGAACAGGGTATGTCGGATACAGATATAGATTATTTATTAAATTGACGAAGTGTCCATCCATGCACTCGTAAGAATTCAAAGTTTCAACTTACCCAGAGTCAACAACGACGTGACTCCCAAAGTGACTCTCGCCGGTATCGCCTCCGGTTTGATCCAGAAAGAGATCCAAGACATCACAACGATCAGCGCTGAGGGTATGTATGTGTGGAACAAATGGTAACCGAGACGACGGCGCAAGTTGAATACTACGGCTAAACACGTGAAGTTACCTGGAAAATGTTAAACGTTTACATAAAAATATTTATACGTGGTAGAGCCACGCTGCAGCTATATTGTGGTAGTGGCACGAATGGGTCGGCTCGAGCGAGGAAGGACCACGCTCTCACAGAATACCAGCGTAAAAAATAGCAGCTTATTACGGCCGTGTTTCCTATGGTGAGTGTAGAGATCTGGAGACCCTTTTTACTGGAAATGAGGCATTCCGTCCTAGTTCTCAAGGGTGAGAACGCATCTGCGTTTTGATTCTTAATCTAGGATAGATGTAGATGTCTATGGGCCACAGCATCCACTTAACATCAGGTGGACTGTGTGCTCGTTTGTCATCTTTATTTTATATAAAAAAAAACATTATCATCATGAGCATGATCACAGCCTATCAAAACTCCACACCGGAACAAAGCCACCTCTATAGATTGCCGTAGGAGAAATATTTGCATCCAAGCTGGCGAGCTGGCAATCGCAGTGTTTTATTATATTTTAGTTGTTATCAGAAAGATACTGCTACCCATCTTCTATTTCATTTCTTTGTCCGTCATGTCATCTTACGACAACCTCGGGCCACTTGAAGCTATATAGACATAATAAAGCTACAAGATCAATTTTATTTGACGTGTTATTTACAAAATAATACCTCATTGTGCTTCCATTCGAAGCGACTTTGTAGTGTTTTATAACAAAATAAAGTAAGGGTAGACTAAACTAGACCCACAACTATTTTTAATCCTCTTTCTTGTCCTAAAAAATGACAAGGAATACCTGAATGAATGATGTGTATAATAAGAAATTAAAAATGTATCCTCGCCTGTAGAATACTCAATTGTGCAGTCACTTGTGTAATTGTTTGAGATGTCAAGTTGCGGTAACTCTATGTCCGGGTTCACCACAAGCGGGTCTGTGACGTTCCATATGAACACCAAATCGTGGACCGTGTGGGATACTGAAAAAAATTAAATATAAAGATTAAAATATATTAACACTGTTCTCGTTAGTTAAATTTAAAATGCATGTGTGTAACACGACAATACTGGATGGCGGATTCAAACCCAAGGAGTTTTTAGTGTCGGAGTGCGTTCCCTTATTTATTAGGCTACTGTCGAATTGAAACACTATGAGCATCATCATCAAAACAGCCCTTCACAAGTTTATAGCTAAAAATCGGAATACTGCTAATCCATCGACTGCCTGCTGAAAGCTGAGAAAGGATCCAATTTAACGGTAGAAGAAATAAAAAACAAGGATCCAATGGTTATAATAAAAGACGTGATGAGTTACAACACGGATGACGACATTATAAGGGCCATAAAACATCAGAACAAACATATATTAGAGGGGTTGGTTGATGAAGAGCAAAGGATGGAAGTAAAGTATAGAAGAAGGACGAGAAATCCACTCACCTCCCATGTAGTTCTTAGAGTGTCTTCACAGGTATGGGGACGTATGATTGAAAGAGAACTCATACACATCGACCTGCAACGAGTGCGAGTGACTGACCAATCTCATCGCTGATTGCTGTCAGGTTGTCACTCCATCTGGGGAGCCACTTTACAATTCGCTAACCGAGTCCGAAAATGTTTTAGAACAAGCAAATGCTCACCGCGCTCCTTAAATGCGTATTTACGTGTCTTCAAAATATTTTATTTTAATTTTCCTTGACCGCCGAGCACGTGGTAAATCGACACTTAAAATTGCTAGTACCTGGATGACCGAGCTTTTCTCGGTATTTTCTTTTTTAGGAATTCGGGAATTTTGGAAATTATATTTAGATACAAATTACATACTGATGAAACATGTCATCAAAACATGACAACAATAGAAAAAACTGAACTGGTTATTTGAATAAAAAATCTTGAGTGCAATTAGTTTAATTTAAATTTTCGTGTTTTTAAAAAAAATAATAAAAATAGGGCTCAAAATAACAAAAGAACTTGAAAAAAAAGGAAAACAAGTCGGACCGAAGACGGGCCGCGAACCAGTGCAACTCGATTCCGTGACCGGCGGATATCCCACTTGAGCTATTACGATCATTAATACACTACCAAAATTTACCTTCTTATATTGTAGCAGTTTTTCTTTGCCTAAAAACGCGGACAAAACGACATTTTCTAAAAATCCTAGCTAGATCGATTTATTGCCCCCCGAAACCCCCCGGACACTAATTTTTATGAAAATCGTTGGAGCCGTTTCAGAGATTCCGATTATATATACAAGAATTGCTCGTTAAAGGTATAGGATAAACAATTTCGTTGGTGTTCCACTGGGGTGAATCCAGGTTGCTCGCGTATTGTGAAATTTATAGCGAGCACTTAGCCGCTACGACCACAACTCTGATCCGTTAAATGTTTTTAAAACTAGCGACCCGCCCAGTGGCGAAGCTAGAGCTCCAAGCCAGGGCAAGCCCAAGATATAAATTGATAAAAATATAGATTGTTGTTTTTAGCAGTTTTATAAAAATACACCAATCTTGATCTGTCTCCACGCTTCAGTTTCATATTCAGTGCTGTCAAGGACGTGTTTAACAAAGCACACAGAAGGCATACCACTGCTAGATAGATTGTATTACATATCAGCAATTGCATAGCTTCGGTGGCTTTGAAGAAAGTCGTTTGGGTTTGTTTAAGCGAAAGAAAAAAATATTTATTTATACAATACAATACATGAACAAAAGTAAAACACGAACAAAGTACAAACAAACTATGTACAAAATTAAAAAATAATTATTTACATTCTAATGGATAAGAGATAAGATAAGATAAGTGGAATCGTCTCGCTTTCTTATGGTAAGATTTAATTACGTCCACGTAAAATGTTGGTGAACGTTTTAATTAATATAGATAAGTCTGAAATAAACTCTTAACCTTGTGTATTATCTCAACAAAGTTTAAAGATTTCCTCTCCGATTATCACTTTAACACACTTCAATTCATCACAAGGAACACTATTATCCTCCATTTTCATTAAAAATCTTTAAAAAAGCATAAATTTTTGAACTCGTAATATTAATTCGCTTAAGATAAGCACACAGAGTAAATAAACATTGAAACGTGAAATGAAATTGCAAACGTATTGCCCGCGCGCCTCCGCTTTTAACAAATTTATTCCCAAAAGCCTGGCTTTAAATCTCTGTACTGATTGCTATATATACAATCGTAGTTATATTTCATTATAGAATATTTTGCCAAAGGTTAGAAAGAGAGCGATCGTCTTCTCGAAAGTCCCGTAAAAAGCCCACGCGAGCGAGGGAGTCAACTATTAGCTCTATTAAAACTCATTTTTTATGACAGCAGCAGTATCGCTAAGACAATACGAGGTCATCGGTCAACATGTGTCGAACAGTGGAGTGCGCGGGAAATTTGAAATAGCTTGAAACATTTTACGAGTTATTTTATTAGTTGATATTATTGATTGATTCAGGTTTAATAAGGCAACCCTGGCTTTTCGGCTTTAATGGAAGCTTCGCCACTGGACCCGCCCCGTATTTGCTTGGGTGGGGTCAATTATTGTGGTGTCATTTAGATTTGTAATAATCAAAGACTTCTTGACTTGAAAATATTCCCTTGCTCGAAAAAAATATAGGCTGGAATACTCATGTTCGGCCATCCCAAAGTTTAGTCCAAACAAATAGACAGACAATATTTTTAAATGGTTATAAGCATGTCTTAAAAGCATTTATATAAACCTCAGAGCTCAAAAGAAACCATTTATTTCTATATTATAGACAAACGCTGCAATTTTATTTATATTTAGGTATAGATATATAGACAAAATTATCCTATATAATTAGATATTTTTTACGTGGTAGAGCCACGCTGCAGTAATATTATAGTTGTAGCACGATTGGGTCGGCTCGACCGGGGCGGGAACACACTCCCACAGAATACCAGCGTAAAATAGCAGCGCAATGCTGTTGTGTTTCGTATGGTGAGTGTACCGAACCGGAGACCCTTTTTACTGAAATCGAGGCATTCCATCTTTGTCCTCAGGGATGACAACGCATTTGCATGATTCCTAGTTGAGGATAAATGCGGATGTCTATAGGCCACAGCATCCGCCTACCATTAGGCTGACTGTGTGCTCGTTCATTACCCAATGCTGCAAAAAATCATTGGTTTGTAATTCAATACATAAAAATAATTCACAACTTACGACTCTCTATCATCATGGAGCAGCTCTGAGTATCGTGAGGGTAGGACTCGAATTTCATCGCACACGACAGCACAAGTGTCAATCTGGAAATCGTAATAAAGTTTGATATTAAATCCAAAAATTAATTGTTTTATGTCCAGGTGAAGTGCAATAGCGCCCTAGCCGCAGCCCAAATGTCGACCTTTTAGCCTTTTACGCGCAGGATCAGGACCTCGAAAAGCACATAAAGCTGCTAGTATGTGCTTTTCGAGGCATGGCAGGTAAAAAACAGCTTACTTTCTGAATCAGAGTTGCTACTAAGACTGTCTTAACGGAAGAACGAAACACCCCAATAATTTATTTTAGGCTCTACCCGGGACTCGCATCCGCGCCCTACGGTCAGCAGTTGCGCTTACGACCACAAGGTGAACGAGACAGTTGTGGTATTATAATATATACTGCGCATTTGACAACTTTAAACTGTCCGAAGTTAACGAAGTGGTGAAAATTGGTGGCAGCTGCAATAAATTAAATCCAAATCATTGATGTAGCATGGGCTGCCACTCTTCGCCGCTAAAACACACTGAGCAACTCTTTAAATTTATTGAAGATATAGGGCTTAACAGTGATCTATAGCCATAGCAGCGATCTTAATACATCTTACTGGTCACAGTGGTGATACTGGTTTTATTACACCTGTATAACTCGCTCACAAATAAACCCTGCTAAGGGCAAGAGTGTGTGTGGACAGACATATTTCTATTTACAGTATTTTTAATGCTACAATGCCCGTCATATTTTAATAAACACTAGGAACTATTTTTGAGATTTTTACTGGCATCATTTAAAAAGTTAAGACGGTGAGCTAACTGGCTGACTCTTTAAAAAACAGTCCCTTAACAATTAATCTATTAATCCATCTATATTTAACGGGTGGTAGGATTCCTGGAGGAGTTACAATCTTCTTATTTCTGCCGTCAAGCAGAATGCCTGGAAGTATCTTGACCTTTCTTGTCATCTGACCCGTTACTTGGCGAGTTTGTATTATTACAGCCTGTGGGGCATTTCACATATAAGTCCTTAGAGGTGACAGCACACCTATTTTTTTAATTCGGATGCAGGTGTCCCATGGCTTGCAGTCACTACTTACGATCAGATGGACTATAAGTTCGGTGGTTACTTCAATTGTATAAAAAATAGTCCACAATACTTACTTGGACATGTATAACAAAGTTTTATCGTGGTACAACCATAGGTAATGGTTAGGTATGCTCATCTCGTGGAATGTCACTTTTTTCGCATTCTTGAAGAAGCAATCCGGTCTCCAGATATTATTAAGCCAAGCCACGTCGAGGATACGATATTCTTCATGCATGTTCTCTGGTAGACGAAGACGAGGGTCTCGCCATGATTGCGCGAGGAATATATCTGCGACGTATGTCTACAAAGAAAAATAATTTTGACCATTCATGTGATTTAAATGACCGGCAACATCAAAGGTGTACGTCGTCTGGTACTACGATCATAAATCCGCCGTAGTACAGTTACATGGTAGAGCCGCGCTGCAGCTTTGTAACGGTTACAGAACGAATGAGTCGGCTCGACCGGGGAAGGAATACGCTCTCACAGAATACCAGCGTAATATAATAGCAGCTTAATGCTGCTGTGTTTCGTATGGTGAGGGTAAAGAACCGAAGTTTCCTTTTATTTCAATCAACGGTTTTGAGTTGTTATCAGGACGATGCTGCCTGTTTCAGTTCTGCTCCGTCGTCTCTTACGGCACCCACCGGTGACAGGGGTAGTGGGTTAGTGGGTTTTCTTACGCTGCCACTATGCGGCGATTATTATTTTTACCGATTTCAAAAAGGGGAAGGCATTTAATTCAACGGTATGTTCTTTTTTATGTGTGTTACCTCAGAACTTTTCTCTGGATGAACCGATTTTGATGATTCTTTTTTTTTTTTTTTGAAAGCTGGCACTTCTCGTGTGCTCCTCTATAAATTTAAACAAATTCTGACTAGTAGTTTTTGAGTTGCACGAAATTTTCAATTTTATCATTTGTATTGAGATTAAGTTAACACATTTTTAATTTTGCGATAAGTTAATATCAATGAAATTAGTGCATAAGCAAGGCTTATAGTGTCTTATCAATATTTTAGTAATGTAAATTTATTTAAAAATAATATCAGTATACACATATACAGTATATACATATATATATATATATATATATATATATATATATATATATATATATATATATATATTGTGTATAATATACATAAATTCATGAAATCAATTCTTCATGCTAATAAGTTCTCAAAATTCGATGATATAGTATACGTGGCATCGTTTAATACATAATTTATAAAACAAATACGAGTATTATAATCATCACATAATAACATCTTTCTGATAAAAACTCGAAATTTAAAATGACAGGAATTGGTCGGCTCGACCGGGGAAGGACCACGCTCTCACAGAATACCAGCGTCAAATAGGAAACCGGAGACCCTTTTTACTGGAAACGAGGCATTCCATCTTAGTCCTCACGGGTGATAACGCATCTGCATTTTGATTCGTAATCGAGGATAGATGTAGATGTCCATGGGCCACAGCAACCACTTACCATCAGGTGGACTGTGTGCTCGTTTGTCACCCTATCCTATAAAAAACACTAGCAAAGTTGCGGAATAAAATCATTATTACTGTCATCATCAGAATTATCATTCGAAAAATCAAAATCAAAAAATGTGTATTCAGTTACAATGGGTTTACAATACAAATAATAGAATTGTAGAGATTTTCTTTTTAAATATTAAGATACTTGCTCTAGGAGACCTCACGCTTCCTTAAATTCATAGAATACAATTAGTTACATTTAGTTGTTATCATTACCATTACCACTATATACCATTTCAAGCAAATAAATTTAATTTACAAAATAAAGCCCTGAGCCACCCGCATCCAGCGATTTCCTGTTTCCTTATTAATACTTAAATTAAAATAGAATTATTAGGATCTGCTTTATGTATAAATAAATAACTTACCATACTCTCCTCGTTGATTGAATCCAAAGACAATACCGTAACGTGGAAATAGACCACGGTCGGCTGCCCCAAGAGCTTGGGAGCTCTGTTCTTGTCATAGTACTTTGCTTTTACTGGAAGTATATCCCGTAGAGAAAGACTCGATTCAGACTTCACTTCCATTTCTTGATATGATGTATTTGCTCTGTAGATGAAAACAACATAAAATTAAAAACTACATGTCCTGTCGACGATACGAAATCGTATAAGCGTTCTTTGCTCCCCGATGAAGGAATTAGTTTTCTATTTTAATGCTTATGTCGCTTTGAATTGATTACGAAACCTTTGATAACGATATTTAAATGTGTGAGAAATGTTTGATAAAAAACTTTATGAATTCACTAGAGAGCAAATATTTTGCCTATAGTACTTTTATAATATCACTAATAGTGATAAACGAGCTGCCGGTCCAGCTAATGGTAAGTATTGCAGCCCATGGACACCTAACCAACTTTAAATACAAAGCCCACTAAACAGCGGTGCACTCATTTTAATTCATCATCAATATCATTACAGCCCTTCACAAGTCTACTGGTGAACGTAAGCCTCCAGCAAAGGGTGAGTAACCTAACCTAACCTAACCAACTTTAAATACAAAGCCCACTAAACAGCGGTGCACTCATTTTAATTCATCATCAATACCATTACAGCCCTTCACAAGTGTACTGGTGAACGTAAGCCTCCACCAAAGAGTGCCATAAAGCACGGTTCTGAGCCATCTGCATCCATCGACTTCCTGCATATCATACAAGGTCGTCTCTCCATCTAGTGGGGGGCCACCCTACCGGTACGAGGTTGTTACTTAAAAAACTTTCTTCCCAATCAGTTATCGCAACTAAGTCACAACTTAATTAATGCACTATTCATTTTATTGCGGTCCTGTTTACGATACGATACTTATCCTGTTCTAATATGTAAGTAATACTGAACACTAAACACGTTCACAATAAAGAAAGTCTTGAAGAACGTGTTTTGTAGATCAGAGGCAGGGCGTTCGTCTTGAATTTGACACTAGGTCTCATTTAATTCGATATCTTCCGGTACCACTGAAATTGTTGTTTGCAGGTTAGTAGTAGTTACGTTGTACCAGTTCTGGCGCACTTGTAGAAAGGTTGTACCAGTTCTGGCGCACGACGTTCGTCGACTCACAATCCTAAAAAAAAAAAAAAAAAAAAAAGGTTTTGGCATGCTCTGATCACGAATCTGCGGTCCATTTTTGCGTAGGATGCACGGTTCCGGAGATGTGCAGATCAATTAACTCTTATCTAATTGATATCCGCTACGAGCCTCAACCGTCATTAGCGCTCCATTGTCCTTATCTACTTATCTATTGTTGATTGACTACCGTCATTATCTATTATTCGTCCAGCGTGTGGGTCGGCTTATGCTATTGTATTATACTCCTTTGTTCCTATCTACAACACTAATCTGAATCATCAATAAAACACATTACCTAATTTTGTTAAAATTTTTATTTATGAAATACAAAATCTTATTACTTATTATCTATAAAATAGGAGCGAAACATCTCATCCACTAAAATATCGTTGTACAATGTGTTCTCTGTAAATATACTCGTAAAACTATGCATTGAACATCCCTGAAACTTATATAGCAAATACATTAAGCAATATTCGCCACAAACTGAAGTCCACTCATTCTGAATCCTATCAACATTCCAGTTCCATCTTTTACAATTTCTTTTAAAAAACTCTAGATGATATCGTACAGGTGCCCGTCCGAATGAATCAAAATATTGACCGACGTCATTCGTATCGATATATAAAGATACCCAATGTGACCCTGGTTTATCATCTGTATCCAAATTGCATATTATATACGTTGGTACGTGGGTGTACATGGGTAGTTTATTGGCAGCATAAACATTATTTTCTAGAGTGGGGTGAATCTTTTTCAGATGTTGTTGTACATCTAGTGTATCCATAATATTACTGCTATTAGTAGATTATTACAGTACCAATCTACTCAATGACTAATATAGGAATGATCAATTATAGTGATATCTAAATATTAAATTGCTTTCTTTGTGTTATACAAAACGTATTTGAGTCACCAATACACTGAACAAGACATGACAGGAAGGACGTAGTAATGTAGAGATAACCAACAGAATGTAAGGTAAGCTTGTTGACGCATAAAGATACTATCAATTCTACTGCAGAAATTCTTTAGATTAGAATTATTACTCACTGGTACTATATAAGACCAAGCAACTGCAGTCATGGAGTTAGTGTATGGTCGTTTGACCGCAGTGGATCTATCAATACTACGTTTGTGTTACTTCAACGCATCAAAGGCCATGGATGTAAGTGTTTATTCTATTGACAAACTTACTTTTCTTTCTGTTATTTTCTTACGTGTGTATGATTTAGTGTTAACAAATTATATTTAAATATTATGTGTGTGTATATGGTTAAGCCGTGGTAGCTCAGATGGTTAGCGCAAAATGTAAACTTCATAGTACACGTCCCGGGTTCGATCCCCGCCGGCACCAATTAAATTGTTAATTACAATTTTAAGTGCTGATTTACCACGTGCTCAGCGGTGAAGGAAAACATCGTGAGGAATGCATGTCTGAGAAAATTTCGAAGGCATGTGAAGTTTGCCAACACGCATTGAGGTATCGCAGCGAACATTTCCTAGCCCTAAAACCCTCTCAGAAATGAGAGGAGGCCTATGTTCAGCAGTGGACTTTAATAGGTTGTAACTTTAGCTTTTTTAACTTTTATGATTAAGTGTTAACAAATTGATATTAACATGATAACTGTGTTGTTGCAGAAATCATTGAGCTTCGATGAAAATACCTATAAACAGTATTACTACTCGCCACTCTCCCCTCAAGAAGAGAGTGATGACATCGTCATTAATAATAACACATGCGATGGTGGAAAAAGAAAATCGCAATCGATTGATCATTTTTTTGAAGCTGAATCAAAAATAAAAAAGAGGAAGCTGTTATCATCAACCGTAGCACGAGCCGCTAGAGATGGTGTATCATACATTTCTACTAATTCTGACGACGGAGACCAAGCGACGCATCTCATCAAAATTGAAATGTACGATATGAAGAAGCTATCCAAGATTCCAACTACTGATCATTGGAAACATGCTTCCACGAGGATTAAATATTACGTAAAGACTAATAAAGATAGCATCTACGACAACACAAACGCCCTCGTATACAATATTACAAAGACAATAGCAGAAAGTGAAAAAGTTAAAAAATACTTTTTTTAACAATGACAGTCATTAGCTGATCATTAGTGAATGTGATTCTGTTTACTTAAATTACAGGAAGACAAGAGCAGAAGAAAGAGATGAGTGTGGCATACGTGTACAGAACACATCATTGAAGAACAAAACTACAACACTGAGTGGAGATGAAAACGAGAATATGCAGTACTCAAGAGCTGAATATCCATTCTTCAGTTCAAAATCTAGCCGGTTGCTCAGTTTCGAAAACTGGCCTCTCGTTATGCGACAGAAACCTGAAGATCTTGTAGAAGCCGGTTTCTTTTATACTGGCCATGCAGACAGGACCAAGTGTTTCCATTGTGGTGGTGGCTTAAAAGATTGGGAAGATGATGATGATCCTTGTCATCAGCATGTTCAGTGGTTTAGTCAGTGTGCTTATGTAAAATTTAAACTCGAACAGAGTTTTGTATTAGATTAAATAGAATATTTATAAAGAAATAAAAAATAATATATTGCATACAATTTGTTTTATTTAATTTTATAATGTTTCACATAGTTACATACACACAAAATGCATTACACATAACTCATAAAATCTAACACACAACACATATTATAACCTTAACTACTATAGTCTACAGTAACATTTCTGTTTTTATCTATCTCAATAATATTATCAAACTCAGCATAAACTATACAGTTAATTGTTTGTATTAGTGAGGATTCAAATCGTACTTCTAATCTTACACTACCATGCTTTATGAGATTCCAATGAGCTGATGAGTTGGCTGATAAATCAGGAGTTAAGTCAAATGCTAATAGACAGTAACCTTTGGCATACTGTTCACAAGAGATTCCATTTCCTTCATTAAGAAAGTGAATACCAGTTCCCGAGAATAGAGTATGATATGCTGATGTAAATATGCTATTATTAAAAGATGGTTGCAAAGCTTTTGAAGGTATTTGTTGACCATCAATATATAAGCTGAAAGAATTAATACCATAGTTTTCAAAGTTAAATGGATTTTTAGTAAGGGAACCATTAAATGCAGAATTGTTCACAAATCCAATTATACATCTTTTGGGTACCTGCCCTAAAAATATATTATCAAGAGTTTTTCCTTGAACACCCGATGGAATTGTTAAAACTTTTACTTCAGCTCGAGTAATAGGATATTTAGCAGTGGTAGAAGCTTGAAGTGGTAGAACTTTAAACTTTACATCGTTTGACCCAGTAATTAAATTAAAGCTCTCTCTCGATTGAACCAATTTAACACTCATTTCAACACCATTAATTAAAAATTTATCTTGGTTGAAAATGTCACCGTGAAGATGACCAATCATTTCTATTTCCTTACTTTCACTAATCAATTCCTGTCTTTTAACAAATCCTATGTTTTTACCATCCGTAGAATCCATTTTTCCTGCTGTATCATCATACCAAAGACTACAAGTAAGATGAGATTGTTTAGCAGCAGGAGCATAGTTTAAAAGGGTTTCCATGTATGCTCGATATGCATAGGTATTATTAGGTGGTGACAAGTTTTTGGTTTAAATAAACATCAAGTTGACTAAAAAGTGAATGCAGCCAATTGTTTACAGGTGCTACTATTGTAGTAGATATCAAGTTAGTTGAATCTTGATTTAATACTTTTGCCTTTATGTGGAGTAATGTATGAGACAAATCTATGTAGTCATCGCCTGTCCCAGGAACTTGAAACTCGATAGGTCCATCATCACCAAGAGATGAAACTGGTTTATAATGAATCCACAATCCATTTTCAATGCTAGTTTGTGTAGACGGTAGTGCAAACAAATCCAATTCTGACTTAACGCACTCGCAAGAATGATTATGAAGGAAAGACATATTTAATTTGAAAATATATCTTTGTTATTTTTTGGCTTTAGACCAAGTTTTTTCGCAGCTTT